GTAAAGAATTGTTGCAAGCATCAATTTTGAATAAATTAGCTTTAATATTTACTGATTTATGAAGATTTTGATTTCTCTAAATTACCGTTATATGGGATGTGGGCGTGGTTATTGTCCGATTTTTTAAATTTTCAGCCGTTTAGTATGCCGTACTAAGGCCAACAACTGCGACAAGTTTGGAAGAAATTGGTGCAGCGGTTACCAAGATATATACAAGTAACCATAAGTGGGCATGGCTACGCCAAAATTTATAATATTCTTATTTTTCGTCTGAAAATTATTGTAAATATCAATTTTGAGTGGTTACTAAAATATTGCAGTTTTCGTATTTCTGGAAATTACCGTTATATGGGAAGTGGGCGTGGTTACAGTCCGATTTCGCCCATTTTCAATACCAACCTACCTTGGATTAATGGAAACCTACATACCAAATTTCGTTGAGATATCTCAATTTTTGCTCGAGTTATCTTGTACACGGACGGACGGACGGACAGACGGTCGGACGACATGGCTTAATCGACTTCTCTATTCATTCTGAGCGTTTATGTATACATTTGTCTATATCTATCTCGATTCGTTTTGGCTGTTACAAACAACCGTTATGTGAACAAAATTAATATACCCTGTGCACAAGTGCGCTCGGGTATAAAAAACATGGGTATATTTCTTCGGTAAAGAACAACCCTAACGCTACGCGAACACTGCAGCCGGCATCGACCGAATTGTGCTCTGCCGATATCGGCTATATGCGGGCGATATGAATAAACACTTTTGATTATAGTGCGCTCATATAATCAAAAGTGTTTATTCATATCGCCCGCATATAGCCGATATCGGCAGAGCACAATTCGGTCGATGCCGGCTGCAGTGTTCGCGTAGCGTTAGGGTTGTTCTTTNAAATTGAGATATCTCAACGAAACTTGGTATGTAGGTTTCCATTAATCCAAGATAGGATGGTATTGAAAATGGGCGAAATCGGACTGTAACCACGCCCACTTCCCATATAACGGTAATTTCCAGTAATACGGAAACTGCGATATTTTAGTAACCACTGAAGATAATTCACTCAAAATTGATATTTACAATAATTTTCAGACGAAAAATAAGAATATTATAAATTTTGGCGTAGCCATGCCCACTTATGGTTACTTGTATATATCTTGGTAACCGCTGCACCAATTTCTTCCAAACTTGTCGCAGTTGTTGGCCTTAGTACGGCATACTAAACGGCTGAAAATTTCAAAAATCGGACAATAACCACGCCCACATCCCATATAACGGTAATTTAGAGAAATGCAAAATCTTCTATAAATCAGTAAATATTAAAGCTAATTTATTCAAAATTGAAGCTTTCAACAACTCTTTACCAAGAAATACGTNAACCGTTCTACCAATTTGTACCAAACTCGGTGTTTTTATTGTGCTTGCCACATAAAAGCAAAACGTTGAAAATTATTGAAATCGGACTGAAATTACCGCTGTTCATATAACGGTAAATTTCATAAATGCTTGAAACTGCAATATTTCGAAATTTAAGGACGCTTATTTACTCAAAACTGATACACCTCGGCTTACCATCTAGCGGTAGGTTTCAGAAAGGTGAAAAAACATATCTATACTATTATATAAAATTGATTATATGGAGTACGTTTGTAACGATTTATTTCTCAAAGTACTAAACCGATTTTAATATTTTTTTTTTTTGGCTTTGTGAGCTCGTGTTTGATCGGCACTGATGTACAGATTTTTCGCGTAGCTATGCGCTGTATTTGGCAACCAAATAGGCTTATGCTTGTACGGCTTTGTAATTTTTGTAACTTTACACCCAAAAAAAGGGTGCTTATCTTCCAAGAATAAAAAATATAAGTACGCCACTCTGCGTCTTTTTACAAATGCTTCGTTAAAAAAAAAAAAATATTAAAATCGGTTTAGTACTTTGAGAAATAAATCGTTACAAACGTACTCCATATAATCAATTTTATATAATAGTATAGATATGTTTTTTCACCTTTCTGAAACCTACCGCTAGATGGTAAGCCGAGGTGTATCAGTTTTGAGTAAATAAGCGTCCTTAAATTTCGAAATATTGCAGTTTCAAGCATTTATGAAATTTACCGTTATATGAACAGCGGTAATTTCAGTCCGATTTCAATAATTTTCAACGTTTTGCTTTTATGTGGCAAGCACAATAAAAACACCGAGTTTGGTACAAATTGGTAGAACGGTTACCGATATACATATATGTGATCATAAGTGGGCGGTGTCACGCCCATTTTCCAAAATTTTACCATAAACGTATTTCTGGGTAAAGAGTTGTTGCAAGCATCAATTTTGAATAAATTAGCTTTAATATTTACTGATTTATAGAAGATTTTGCATTTCTCTAAATTACCGTTATATGGGATGTGGGCGTGGTTATTGTCCGATTTTTTAAATTTTCAGCCGTTTAGTATGCCGTACTAAGGCCAACAACTGCGACAAGTTTGGAAGAAATTGGTGCAGCGGTTACCAAGATATATACAAGTAACCATAAGTGGGCATGGCTACGCCAAAATTTATAATATTCTTATTTTTCGTCTGAAAATTATTGTAAATATCAATTTTGAGTGGTTACTAAAATATTGCAGTTTTCGTATTTCTGGAAATTACCGTTATATGGGAAGTGGGCGTGGTTACAGTCCGATTTCGCCCATTTTCAATACCAACCTACCTTGAATTAATGGAAACCTACATACCAAATTTCGTTGAGATATCTCAATTTTTGCTCGAGTTATCTTGTACACGGACGGACGGACGGACAGACGGACGGACGACATGGCTTAATCGACTTCTCTATTCATTCTGAGCGTTTATGTATACATTTGTCTATATCTATCTCGATTCGTTTTGGCTGTTACAAACAACCGTTATGTGAACAAAATTAATATACCCTTGTGCACAAGTGCGCTCGGGTATAAAAAACATGGGTATATTTCTTCGGTAAAGAACAACCCTAACGCTACGCGAACACTGCAGCCGGCATCGACCGAATTGTGCTCTGCCGATATCGGCTATATGCGGGCGATATGAATAAACACTTTTGATTATATGAGCGCACAGTGGTCTTGAAACAATGATAGGTATGACTAAAATGCCAACCAAAACTGCTTGCATACCTGTTTTGGAAGGCACCCATACACCATTATGCAGTTGGAATTAAAATCATATCTGCTCCTATGCCTAAAATATTGTCAAATGAAAATTTGGAAAAAATTTAACTGCAATTGTTAGTATTTCTTGTTGAACAGAGTATTCTAAAGTTATCGTTTTGTATATTAGTGTAAAAAAAAACAGATAGTATTTTTCTCGATGATAATTGGGGTGTTCACAGTTCGTTCCAAATTGTGTCTGAAAATGTAGACGTCTACATTTTGAGACATCTTTAGCATCAAACTGTGAGCACCCCTTTCTAGCAGTCGTCGCAAAATCGTCTCAAAACTTTGCTGGTGTTGCCAGACATTTCTTCTTTGCGTGCTTTTTTATATGTCGCCTTTCGATTTTGTTTCTGAAAAATTGTTATTATTTAACTTAATTACCAATTCCTAATATTTGTTATTTCTTTGCATTGATTTGTTTCTTTTCATCAGAAATTGCGCTCAAATTAAATGCAAATACAGAAAACGTGCCCAATAAATAAAAAAAAATGCGATTAGTATTGCCATAATGCAACCCTGCTGCGAGGTTGCAAAATGTAGACGCGTAAAAAACATACCTTTGAGTGTGACAAAATGTAGACGGCGTCGTTTTCCAATTTTGTATGGGAAACAACAACACCACAGATTTTACGGTTAGAAAACGTCTTAAAATGTAGACGTCTACATTTTGAGACACTATTTGGAACGAACTGTGAACACCCCAAATATTTCTGGTGTAAGCTATTTCATTGCACATCATGTCTTCTATAAGTCATCCGCAACATAAGTGTAATCACGAAGAGAACAGATTTAAAGTGTGCGCGCCTTGTGGGAGAAAGATTAAATTCGGATCGTCAAAACCTTCAGAATTTAATATAACCGGAAAATTGGAGTGTCTTATTAAAAAATACGTTAGTGAAAATTTTAGATTGACCAATTCGAAGTTCCCATTAGGCATTTGTGGTACATGTCGTAGGGTTCTCTGTGACCGAGATAAGGATATACCAAATGCAACGCGGCCTCTTCCAAACATGTCTAACTATGAAGATTCGACAAAAGAAACAAGAACAACTTCATGCTCTTGTTATATCTGGCTCACTGCTCGGGCAACCAGCCATCCAAAAGTTATACAAGGGAGAGCACATACCTTAAATGTATTGAGTGAAAAAAACTCCACCAATGGGTTGACTGCTTTGTCAGTTGGGTCAGAATTAAAAAATCATGTAAGTAAACTCGCTAAAGCCTTCCGAAGCACAGAAATGTCGGAAACATTAAAAATTCACGTGCTTCTAAATCATTTGGAACATTGTCTGCATTTTTTAGGCAACGACAGCTTCGGAATGTGGTCGAAGCAAGCTGAAGAATCCATTCATGGCGTATTTTTAAGATTTTGGCTCAATTATAAAGTTAATTCGATTGACGACCCTAAATATATAATCAATTAAAAAAAAACTGTCGTTGAATTTTCATCAAAACACATATGAATTTATATAAAATAATATTTTATATTGACTTTGTAAATTTATAAAATTTATGCAATAAGAATTATTAAAATATGCAATTATGTAATATTATCTCTTGAAGAACTAAGTTAAAATATTTTATGCTTATATAAGAAAGTGTTATAATTATATTATCATAGACCTTCGCGATTATATAACTGGATTTGGAAAGTTCTAGATCAACATTTTATAATATTTTAAGCATAGGAGCAGATGGAATTTTATTTTCAACGAAATTTTGATCTATGATTATGTACAAAGACAGTTATGTAAGCCGTTTTGGTTGGCATTTTAGTCATAGCTATGGTTGCTTCAAGACCACTGTGAGCGCTCTCACACATAAACCGATAACCGAACCTACATCGGCCGTTGACGTCCGTCAGTGACGATAAATTCAAACATGTTTGTTTTTCTCGTCCGATGTCAGGTGAAAAGTATCAAAATGGACTGCAAAAAATTAACTTATTGGGTGCAGAAACAAAAAAATTACATATAAAATCACATGTTTAGAGTACGTCAATTAAAATTTATTAAAGTATTTCACTGCTTGCAAAATTGTAATGAAAACTAGATTTGTGTGTACAAATACGGTCGGCAAATTATCTGGTTAAGTGTGCGCATCAATTCGGACGGTCAAATTGTTCGGCCGAAATCGGTCGGCCTATCGGATGCAATGTGCGCCTCCTAGCGTAAGGGATGAGAGCATCAAAATTTCAGCGTTACTTATTTTTGGACCACCTTGATGTATATACCGTATAACTGTAAAAATTAAAATTATGAAATTAAAAAAAAAATTGGACCAAAAGTTTTCAAAGTCACTTTTCTCGAGAAGCCCTGTAGGTATGATTTTCATTTTTGAATTATTAGAAACTACAAACAATATACTTTTAAAATTTGCAAGATTGTACAATGTCCGGCAACCTTTGATTTAATCTTAGTTCAGACGCACCGTGGTTGATCAGACGACTAAAGGACAAAGAGACAGGGGCTCCTGACCGTGCACCATAGGCGTGGGTAACGGCGCAATTTTTTTGGCGCTGACACACTAACTCCAGCGCCACTGTTGGAATCAGCACAGCGTGTTGGCGCAATTGCGCCACTTCAGGCTAAAGCTCATTTTCTTTATTGCTGCACGCTGCACCAAAGTGAATTAATACAAGGTGATATCGGTTGAGAAAAAACTCCAGTATACCCAAGTTCAAAACCCATAAATACAACAAACCCATCATTTTCACATTCAGAAGGACCGCGACCAATTCTAGCAACACCACCTTGTATAAATTCGCCTTGTGCTGCACATTTTACAAGAGACACTTCTATTTCGGGTGTTCTTTGCTGGTTCTTTGCGACACCCGGCGTTGTCAGTGTTCCGGTGTTGAACTAAGGTGAATTAATACAAGGTGGTATCGATTGGGCAAAAACAACTCAAGTATACCCAAGTTCAAAACCCAAAAATACAACAAACACATAATTTTCACATTCGGAAGGATCGCGGCTAATTTTAGCAACACCACATTTTAAAAATTCGCCTTGTGCTGCACATTTTACAAGTGCCACTTCTCTTTTGTGTGTTCTTTGCTGGTACTTTGCGCCGCCCGGTGTTGTCAGTGTTCCGGTGTTGCTGGCACCATTGCGTCACTGAGTTGTGAAAATCGGTATCGGCGCCAGTAACTCAGCTCTCGGTATCAGAGCAATAGCGCGGCACCGCACTGTGTTACCCACGGCTAGTGCCCCATCACCGCTATCACATGGTGATATCCGCTACGCGAAAATTCGTCTGATCATCCTTTCGCAAAACCGTCACTTTCCCCACGAAAAGGCCCCTTAGATGACTCAAAACCCATTGACAAAAAGAGTTCATTATTAGCTCTTAACCCGTTTTGGGCCAAAATGGAGTTCTTCGCGTCAATGGACGACTTGCTCAAGCTACCCTGAGCTATAACGAACGTCACCCCATTATCATCCCGGAAAAGTCCCGATTGGCAGTTCTATATCTAAAGTGTCTCCATGATCTACTCCTCCATGCAGAAGTACGACTTATGCAGCAGATGATCAGGCAAGAATTTTACAATTCCCGGTTCAAATCCCTCATCAAAACATTTATTTACCAATGCAAATCATGAACAATCCACCAACAGCTAATGCTCTCGCAGATTATGGCTGCTCTGCCGCACGAACGATGCACCTTCGCTCCGCCCTTCACCACCACCGGTGTCGATATTGCTGGGCCTTTTCAAATAAAAGCCTCGATGCTAAGATCCCCCGCTTTAGTGAAAGGCTATGTTGGCGCCTTTTTGTGTTTCGCCACAAAGGCGGTACACCTCGAGCTGCGCTCAGACCTTACCAAAGAGGCATTTGTCGCCGCCTTTGCTCGTTTTGTTGGTCGCCGTGGTTACCCCGCTAAAATTATGACTGACAATGGCAAAACTTTTAAGGGAGCCAAAAGAGCCACTGAAAATGAGTTCTCTGTCTTTCTCAAAACTGTATCCGGTGATGTTGTCGAAAAATCCTCACCCCAGGGTATTAATTGGAAATTTATCCTTCTCAGCGCCTCGCACGTGGGTGGCTTATGGGAGTCTGCAGTTAAAAGTTTTAAACTTCACTTCAAAAGGAGTGCCGGGCCCCACAAATTTAATTTTGAGGAGTTTACTACCTTTTTAATAAGAGTTGAAGCTGTATTAAATTCTCGTCCGATATCTCCACTCACCCAAGACCCGACGGAACTAAGAGCGCTCTCACCTGGCCACTTCCAACGGAGTGCTCCCCTCCTATCATTACCCGAATCTAAACACGAAAAACTCTCGCTTATTAATAGATGGGAAAAGCTTAAGGTCTTACACCACCAATTCGCAAAACGATGGCAGGAAGACTACCTTAAAGACACAGGTGAAAGAATACTCAAATTGAACCCAAAATCGTCGAATGTGTATTCATACAGAACGGTACCTGGGTCACATCGAAAGGACGCACCCTGGCAAGGAAGGACACATCCGCCTCATCGATGTTCACTGCCAAAGCTGCTAGCTGACTCGACCAGTAGTGAAGTTGGTGTTTTTACCCTCAAGCACCTCAGCCCGCACCGCGGACCTTCAGAAAGTCGCAGATTGGAACGACCCGCAATACGCGTTCAACGAACCAGTAAACGAAGGACCACAAGCGATGCCGATGCGCCGCACTATGGTCAAAACAGGAGTTTTTTTCCAAAATCGTAGATCTTCGGTTAGAAAAGAGATAATAGAATGATGAGATTTTTTTTGAACATAAATGATCATATCTTCTCCCTCTTCTTTATTGGTGCTGTAACGGTCTAAGCGATTTTTGCCGAGTCCAAAACAGCACGCCAGTCATTTCTCTCCTGTGCTAACTGACGCCAATTGGAAATGCCAAATGAAGCCAAGTCGTTCTCTGTTACCAGCAGCGCGGCCCGCGTTGAATATTTCAGAGCAGGAGCGTTTCTGTCCATTCGAACGACATGGCCAAGCCAGCGGAGCCGCGTAATTTCAATTCGCTGACTATGTCTATATCGTTGTAAAGCTCATACAGCTCATCGTTAAATCGTCTGCGATATTCGCCATCACCAACGCGTAAAGGTCCGATTTACGGACCCAAACGATCATATAATAAAGAAAAATTATAGAGAAGTTACAAGAACAATAACTTAATCCTCAAAATATCGTTCAAAAAGTCACTTTTTTTTAATTTTGAATATTGGCTCCCATTCTACAAGAAAACA